GGGGTGGGGGGAACCTCAAGGAGGGGTGCGAAGTGCATCGGCTGCCGGGACACTTATGGGCTTGCTGCTTGCCAAGACCTGGGCCGCTTTTTAGCCCCTTTTCGTGGCGCACCCGGGGCAAACCGCAGCTGCCCGGCGGCTGCCACATGACACGCAGGCTCGCGTCAAGCGCACCCCGCCGTCCCCCCCACCGCCGCTGCCTCACCAATCAGTCAAGCGCACCCGCCCACCCACCTAAACCCCTCCTTCCATTCCAGATTATCGTGGAGCGCTGCGGGGCCGGCGACTTTGACCACATCAAGCACGCGTGCGACTTGTTCCTGGACTTTGTGGCGATCTTTGTCAGGTGGGTGGGGGGCAATATTGTCTTATACTCCCGTGTACAACTGTGATCTGTGACCGTATTTGTGGGAGTTTGTCGGGGATACTGTCAGTCTTCAGGGGCCGGGCAGGGGCCTGCTGTTGTGCCTGAAGAGCGTTGTTGCACCGCCGCTTCAACCGACGTCGTCATGCGGGGGCTGCGTGAGTGTGAGGGTTTTCCAGACCCGCATCGACGCCCTGATGCTGCCGCGGCCGTACCACGGTCGTCGTACCACCGCATGCTGTCCATTTCGCGCAAGTTGCTGTGTTTTCTTGCATGAGAAAAAACCTATTTCACTGGGATTGTGGTGTGCAATCCTGCTGCGCTGTGTTTCCTGTGCCCTCTCTGCAGGGTGCTCTTCATCCTGATGCGCAACGCAGAGAAGCGGGAGCAGGAGGAGCGCCGCCGCAACCGCCGGCGCGACTAGGGGGAACGCTCTCCTCACCGTGTGGCGGCGCCGCGCTCCCCCGGCGCCCGTGCGTTTCGCCAGGGCGGGCGTCGGTACTGGGCCTCGCAGCGCCGCCACGGCTGGTCGGCCCTGCCGCAGCGGCGCCCATTTTCCATCGATGTGACCCTGGCTCATCACCACAGGCCGCCCATTTTCTCGCGGGCACCCTCCTCGCTCACGTGTGTTTGCAGCGCGTGGGTGCGCCGCCCCTGGCGGGCATGCATGACAACCGTTTGTGCACTCGCAGCCCATGGTGTGTTTCGACGTGTTTTCCAGACCCTCTACCGCATTTGTAACGCATGCTGCTTGGCTGCTGCCCAGCCCAGACACGGGGCGCCCTCCCGCGTCCAAAGTGGCGTCCTATCCGAGCAGCTGGGCCGCTGGTCCAGAGTAGCCGTGAGGTGCACTATCATGCGGTGGTTTCAGATGAGGTTGGGCGCGTGAAAGGCGCCGTAGAGCACCTGCGGGTCTGCAACAGATGCGCGCTGCAGGAGGCAGGCAGAGAGGGCTGCCTGTTGCCATTGTCCACGCCGTGTGACTGGTGCAAGGGTGCCAACAACCCGGTTGTCTCAAAAGGGGGGAGCCGGCAGGGACATGGGAGGAGGGAAAGCAAGGGGGGGTGTAGCTCCGATTTGACAGCGCTGGCCTGGGTGATGCAGTGACAGGGAGATGGATTGCCCAGGTGGCGGACGCAGTGTGAGGTGCGGGTGGGACATGGGTCAGGAGCGATGTTAGCTCACTGATTCGGCTATGACCGTTGTCACTTGGAGCTTTGGTTGCCAAAGTCTCTGCGAACCTTGCACACTGCCACGGCCACAAATCCCATGCAGGATCCGCAACAGTCATGGAGATTGCACCCGGCGCAACTCAGCACTGCAGAGCGTTCTGGACCTGTCGCATGCCAGCATTACATGATGTCTGATGCAATGTAAATACTATCATTGATTCCAGGTTGGCTGGGCGCCTTGTCGTACATCCCTTTGACGTGGCATAATGTGGAAGTCGTGTCGCTGCAGAACAGGGCCCTGCTTATGAAACGCAAAATGGCCGCTTGCAAGGCCGCCGCAAAGCCTATAAGCAAATTTAACACAAATTGGTTTCACACACCCATCCAAAGCTTTCGTTTGTCGCGGATTGCGGGTGTTCTCAGTGAATAATCGAGTTGCTGGCGGGCAGGTGGGTTTTCACAGGACCACCGCGCGAGAATCGCCATACCCGTTGCTGTAGGACCAATGATAAACAATACTTCATGCAACCGTCCCATTATATCATCAACATAGCGCTTGTCGAACGTAGACTTGGCCGCTGAGCCACGCCGCGCTGTACTTAAGCTCCTCCGCCAAACGTAATCAGAAAGAGTTGTCAAGAACTTGTTACTCTATGCACGCCTTTTTCAGGGGTGTGTCATCCGATCCCATCATCCGGCTGTGCGTTTCGTGATCATTCCCGCCCTTGCGGCAAGCACCAGCCCATGGTGTGCCTCGCGGTTCAAAGGATCTTCTTGTGATTTTCCCCTGTTACTCGCGCGCCGGCACGCGCTCATATCCTGCCAATGTGCCAGCCGGCCGACGAGATAGGGACGGGCGTGACTGCTGCAGCGGAGGTGCCCGCGGCGAGCGGCGTGGGCGGCAAGCTCATGAGGCAGCCCGATGACTTCTACCTTTACTTGTACAAGGTGAGAACGGCAGGGGCCATGTGGCCCTGACGGATCGTTGGCATGCGCACTCGCCCGCCCGTGTCCGGGGCAAATCGCAGGAACGGGATGCAGCCGCGTCCCAGCCACTCGCAGCAACCCCCTCCGCCTGCTCTTTGCCGACCCCGCCCGCAATTATCCTGCCGCTGCGCTCCGTTTCACCACAGATAAAGAGCTGCCCTCAGCGGCGGCCGCACCCGTGGACCCTGTGCCCCTTCGCACACCCAGGTGAGAATTCCAGAGTTCCCGCCGCCGTCGGCGCATGCATCATCCCCGCCCAGCCCTTCACAGGGGACAGCCGGCAGGTGCAATCCGCCTACCCGTGCGTGGCAGCCTGTCTTGCGAACCGTTGCACCGGCACGGCTGCTGGCGCTGGCCCCGTTGCCAACCTGGCACGCCGAATTCTGCCAGACCACACCTGGGCCTGCTCGTTGCCACACAGGCCTGCCGTGTCCCTCAAAGCGCAACAGGCGCGGGGCTCACGCAGCCAACCGCCCCACCCCTTTCCGTGTCGCCTGCCTGTTTGTGCCCCTTTTCCCCATCTGGCAGGCGAGCACGCGCGGCGGCGGGACCCCAGGCGCTACGACTACCGCTCCCTACACTGCCCCCACAAGAAGCAGGTGCGGGAACGAAAACGTGCATGAGGGGCGTTCCGCGTCACAAGGTTGCTAGTGGCTTATCGTCCCGCCGCACCCTGCAGAGGAGGTTGCAAGTCCGGGCCCCTTGCACGTGGCAGCAGCATTGCACCCCTTCATGCAACCGCTCGCGAGGTGCTGCGGTTGGGCATCGACTCAGCCCAGCACGATCCTGCGAACTAAGTTCCGCCGACCCGATGCAGCCTCACGCAACAGCCACCCTCGGCGTCTGCACCGCTCACCCCATCTTGCAACCGGCAGGGCGACGAGTGCCCGGACGGCGACTTGTGCCAGTACTCCCACAATCTGTTAGAGGTGGGTCGATCTGCGCCCCCCCCCCTCCCCCGGGCCCCTGCCACGGCTCGCGCAAAAGCGCCGCGCGAGCTGGCGCAAAGCGCCGCCCCAGCGGCGAGCTGGCGCGCCCGGCTGCCTGGCACGCCAGGCCGGGGCACCGAGATGAGTGCGCCGGTGGGCAGGCACCTCAGGGCAGAAAAGGGCTGAGGCCGTCTGATGAATGTCCAACATCATCCCCCCCACCCACTCACCCACCCACCCACCCACTCACCAACCCACTCACCAAGAAAAATCCCACCCCTGCATCCTTGCCGTCCGTCCACGCCGCATGTACTTGCCCCTCAGTACTATCTGCACTCTGAGGTGCGCCCCTGACCCTGATCCAGAGCCAGGCGTGGATTGGGCTGTGGGGTTGGTTGGGCGGTTGCTTGCTCGTTTGACGGCTCTCTTGTTGCTAGGCTGGGATCAACCAAGCGGGTGCTTGGGTCACCGGGGCCGGGGGTTTCCAAGCCTGCAACGGTCGATTGGCCGGTGGATTGGGTGTTTGGCTGGTCGTTTGATCCTTCGCTTACCCCGGCCCGCGCTGCAGGCGCTCGCTGCCGCGCTCCCCGACCGCCGACGGGGTCAAAACTTTTGATTTTGACAACTTTCAAAGCTTTTCAACGCTTGAAGCGTTCGCATGCGGCAGTCCCGAGGGCGTCTCTTAAATATTGTGCGCGCCCATGGCTTTGCTGACCTGGGCTGGCGCTGCCGGTGCCGCCAAAACCCCCTCACAGAGGTTTCGAACCCAGATCTGCGCCAACGGGGCTTCTTGCAAGCGGCAGATGTGCTTTTTCGCCCACGGGCCAGGTGAGTCGAGAAACGCAGAGGGCGGCAGCCTAGGGGCAGCAGGTGGGGGGGAGCACCGCAGGGAGCAGCGCTGCGTTGCTGTCAGCTCGCGGTGCATGAGCGGCTGTCGGCAAACTGCAGCACTTGGGCGTGTCAACAGGTATGCGATCACAGACAGAACACACACCCCGCTTGCCCTGCTGATGCCTCGGGTATATTCCAGGGCATGCGGGACATGCGCGCACGAGTGCACGCACGCTCACCCCCTCACCCACAACTGTGTGCGGAGGGTCAAACCACGCTTGTGTGCTCGCGCCCCCCCTCCCTTCGCACCACCGCAGACGAGCTCCGCTTCCCTGAGTCCCACTTCCAACAGAACGCGGCAAAGCAGCAGGCGCTGGGCTTTATCCCGACAAACGCATCTTTCGAGGCCGCAGGGTCGTCCGATGGATCGGCCGGCCCCTCCTCAAACGCCTCCCCCCCTCGCCGGCTAGCCGCAGCTGCGCCACGGGCCAGGGTTGGCGCCGGCAGCGGCGGCGGCGGCGGCGGCGGCGGCGGCGGCAGCAGCTGCGGCGCTTCGTCGCCGTCGCCTCCGCAGGTCGTGCCTGCATGCAGGGGGCTCGTGCCGGTGACGGCAGTGACATCGCTGCCGCTGCCGCTGATGTCATCATCTCTCCTGCAGTCGCCGCACGCTCTGCAGCTGCAGAACTCCAGCCAGCAGATTCTGCTGGTGCCGTCTCCGCCGCCGCTGCTGCAGCAGCAGCAACAGCAACAGCAGCAGCTGCAACAGTTACAGCAGTTGCAGCAGCCGCCGCAGCTGGTCCTTTCGCAGTCATGCCCACAGCAGCTGGTGTTGAGTGCTCATCCTGGGGACCAGCCCATGCAGGCTGCCGTTCTGCAGCAGGGTGGGCCGCTTGGTGCGCAGTGGATTGCCCTGCAGCCACAGGAGGCCCAGCACTTCCAGCAGCAGCAGCAGCAGCAGCAGCAGCAGCAGCAGCAACAACAGGTCCAGCAGCTGCAGCAGCAACTTGATCTGTTGCAGCAGCAACTGCAGTGCATGCAGCTGCAGCAGCAGCAGCAGCAGCAGCAGCAGCAGCAACAGCAGCAGCAGCCACCGCCGCCCCAGCCAGTGCCCTGCGCCCCGCTGGTGTCGGGGACGTTTGAGGCCAATTGGTGGAGTCCGGATCTGGGCCTCGAGGGCAGCCCCTTTCTGATGCAGGAGGCCACAGTCATGACCAACCACGACGACCAGTTGATGGGGGACGGCAGGTTCCACTCCCTGCAGCTTCCTCCCGGCACCTTGGTGACCCACAGCCTCTCGGGGGAACTGCCGGGTGTGCTGCTGACCCTGCAGCAGCAGGAGCACTCCGCTGGGCTCTGATCGGCGGGGCAGCGACACGCGACGACCGCCGCGCGGCGGTGGTCCAGAGGGCGATGTCGGGGCCGAGCACGCGGCGGGCCACCCCTGGCCTCGCGGCGGGCGGCCCCACACCCCCGCGGCGCGGGCGCCGCGTGCGCCCCACCCGCGCTGCCCAGGCGGGCCTGCAGTGTCAACGTGTGGGAAGCCAGGGCGATATTTTTGAGGCAATGTTTTCAGGGTAGGGTGGCATTATTTGACAGACACTTGTTCCCTATTCGAGCCATTCACTGCTTCTCCAACGGCCGCGGCACGGCGCGCCGATCCTCAAGCAACCTGCGTCGAACGCCCCCCGCACATTTCGCCCCCGTGCTGGCGCCCCCCAGCCCGGAGCAGGGGACAGTCCGGGGGCTTGCACTGCAAGCATGCCACGTCACGCCTGAAACCCCCCTGATTTCTGCACACTGAGGGGCTCTATCTAGTATCCTGCACACTGTGCTATCAACACGACATGCCGCCTGGGGCGACCCCCTGGCACAGTCCTCCACACACTGCGCACTGCAGACACTGCACCTTGTCTGGCGCCTTGCTGGGGCACCACTCATGGCACGGGGCGCTTTTGGCGACACGCGGCGCACGTTTGCCCCCAATAAAACCAACGAACGCGGTTTCCTGGGGCGCGGCAGCGACGCCCGCCCGAGCCGCTCGCGGGTCGTCTTATTTTTTCAGGGGAGGGGTGGGCCCGTGCCTGATTCCTCGTCTCTGGGAACCCGGGTTGCTTTCACTGCCTCGTGGACTTAGGGGCGCGCCCCCCTGTCACCGCGCCCGCCTCTCTCCCGCCTCTTGTTTCTCACCTTTGTTGGTGCGCTGGCGCGCTCACGCGCACCCTCGCACGCGCACCCTCGGACGCGCACCCTCCGATGTGCACCCTCGGACGCGGGCACAGTGCACGGCCCAGCCGCGACAGGCAAACCCAAAACCCTGGGCGCTCCGGCTCCAGCCATCGGTGGCGGCCCAGCTCGCCCCATTATCGGCCCAGGCCACAGCCCCTGTTCACTGATGAGATCCAGTATTGACATCAGTTGACTGCCAAAGCATGCAACGTTTTTTCGCGCCCCTCATCCCGCATCGTCAGCGCCGGCTCCTCACCTCCCAACGGCGCGGAGGCCGCCGGTACTGACGGCTCCCTTCGAGCGGGCCTCCCCCCCTCGCCTGGTCCGCGCGCCTTTCCACTAAGCCGCGGGCGGCTTTGCCTTGATCGTCCTATAGTTTGATGCCTTCAGCACCAATGCGTGCGGGGCAAGCGGGGAGCTCGCTCGTTCGGCGCCGCTCGCCTTCACAGTGGTGTGCTGCCGCCGCCAGCCGGGGCTAGGGGCCTCCTAAAACCAAAAAAACGTTTGCAATCCTTGTTGTCTGTTGCATGCCTGGCCGGAGTATGTGCCAGCGCCTGCGCCCCCTTACGCTCGCCTCGGCGCCATGACATGGCATCAGTCCCATTCTTGTGTCGAAATATCGATATGGGCCCACGCGTGCGCACGTGCCGGCAGGCGCGCACCTCTGCCGTCGGCGCCGCAGGCATACGGCTGGGTGAGACAGAGTCTTGTGTGGATGCCGCCCGCAAGCAGTACCCCCAGCCCGCCATCGGGCTGAGGGGGCAGGCGCGCTGGAGGCACGAACTCGCCCGGCTGGTGCGATACCAAGGCGCTACCTTGTATGAGCTCCCTTAGAAACCCCAACCGACTTGATGCAGCCTCACTGCCCAGCTTGTTCCAGCCGCGGGGCGCCGGCCCGGGCAGGAGCCGACCGACCGCTCGCTTTCGGGCACGAGCCACACGGTGTCGGCGAGCTGGCAGGTGATTTCGGGCCTGTTGCCCCTCCTTTCCCGGCCGCCCGCCTTTGGTCCAGGCCCCGCACCTGTGCACCGTCGGTCCGAGCCCCTGGTTCCAACTCAACGCCCGTCTGCGCCCCTTATCCGACGGGTGGCATGGCGATCGACCGCGCGCGCGGCCCGGCCCTCCTACGACCGGGGCTCGCGGGCGCGCGTGCGCGTCGCTTCGCACACCCGCACGCCCCCGCCCCCTCCCGAATTGCAGCCCCGACCTACGCCCCCCCTTTGGAGCCGTGGCCGGCTGCGCGCGTTCCCGTTCCTCCCCATGCCCTGCCCGCGCCACCGGCGCGCCAAATCCCTTCCAAAACCCCCCTTCAATATTTGCTCAAGTAGCCAGGCGTACCAAGGCATACAAGCGGGCCACTATTTGGCCCGCAGCGCGAATCATTGTCGTTTGTATTGACAAAACTGCAGAGCGGTACTTGATCATACTACACACTTTTGGCCCGGCGGTAACACCAGCCGACAGTGGCGCCGCGGGCGATCCTGACAGCCGCGCGTCGGGCGCGAGGCAGCGCGCGCACCCAGCCCGAGGCAGGCAGGCGCCGAGTCAGGCCGGGTGGATCTTTGCTCTGTCTCTGTTGGCTCTAGTAAGGACGGCAAATTGACAACAAATTTGAAGTCACCGCGAAAGCGGGCGCAGGGGTGGGGTCTCAACCCAGGCGCGAGGCAATGGTGCCTGCCAACTCACAGAGCCGAAACCAGAGAAAAGCCGCCTCCGTTGAAACGCCGGCGGCGGCTGCCGGCAGCCGCGCCGATCAGCGCGGCGTGCAAGCGTGGAGCGGGCCGCCGGGGTGGGTGGGCTGGAGGTGGCTGGCATCCAGCCTTGGGCGCGGGAAGGTCAGGGCTGCGCGTCCCATCTACCATGGGACGGCTTCGTCCTCTGTCGCGCGCGCGTGGCTGGGGGGCGAGGCGGGGG